CGTACGTACGTACGTACGTACGTACGTACGTACGTACGTACGTACGTACGTACGTACGTACGTACGTACGTACGTACGTACGTACGTACTACTACTCTCTCTCTCTCTCTCTCTCTCTCTCTCTCTCTCTCTCTCTCTCTCTCTCTCTCTCTCTCTCTCTCTCTCTCTCTCTCTCTCTCTCTCTCTCTCTCTCATACACACACAAACAAACAGACACAATTAAGATGAACCAGAGAAGGCTAAATGTGATCCAAGAAAAGAAAGAGGTAATTCAAGCTCAATTTCAGTCGATGGATTCATATCCTAGGGTTCCAAAAAGTTCTGAAATTCTTAATATTATTGAGATTCCCCATAGTTTTCTATTGAAATAATCCTTGGTAAACCTTACTAATATCAAATTAACATGAAAACTGAGTAAAGTGAGGTGCTACTCAGGTTGCACGTTATTTTGATATCAGTATGGAAACATCTTCTGAGTAATAAATCTCTGGGACAAACTCCCAACTCCATGACCACAGATTTCTTCAGCCTTAAACTCTCTCTATCTCTCTCTCGCCCCTCTCCCCGTCTCTCTCTCTGTTGAGCTTGCCCGCCTGTAATTGCTGGTCCTTTGCTCCGAGGATTATCATGGTTCAGAAAATCAATGGTGGAATTTTAAATTTTAAAAATAGTACAGAGCGAATAGATCATGGTTGAAAACTTGGAAAATAGTTCGATAGGGCTGCAGCCCCATGAAAATAAGTATAGCCTCACCTCATAACTCATTAAAAACTGCAGTTCAGGCATTAGAAAATCTTTATATTGATCATCTCAGTTTTTAACATGTGAAAAAAATTTAGAATTTTAGCTCTAAAAGTAGTGTATATTATAACAAATTATTTAGAACATCCATGTCGCCCTAAAAATAAGTGTTGATAGATCCACTAGATATTTGGACTTTTTTTAGTTTCAAATTTTATTGTCCATGTTGGAAATTGTTTTAAAACATAATGGAAATTTATTTTGCCAAAAGTACTTTTTGGATAAGGATTTGAAATGAGGCATTATTTTGTTTTCATAAAGCCTATGCATTATAAAAACTTCATTCAACTGATGGTCCAAATAATTTGTTACACTATATATTATTTTTAGAACTTAATTTTTTATTTTTTTTATATCCATATATCTCGGGATCATCTGAATTGGAAGGTTTTCTAATTCGAAATCTAGATGATCAATTAGAAAACTTTCCAACTTCGAAATATTCTATTATATGATTTTTGAGATGCGCCATACTTCTTTAGTGTAAGTAAGTATATTTTTGAGATGCACCGTACTTCTCTAGTGTAAGTAAGTATATTTTTGAGATGCACTTTTTGAGATGCACCGTACTAATCTAGTGCAAGTAAGTGAGATTGTATATTACCAGACTATTTATCTTTCGTACAAGAATATCAAACTTCTACAATCCATTAGATGTCAAATTAGTAAGGGATTATCTATAAGGGGACCATTTACCTTTTGCATAAGAAGGTGACAATTATTCATGTTCTTTAGATTTCCAAATGGGTAGATGTAAGAGTGGCCTTGATTAAGCACAAAGTTCCAAAAAAAAAAAATCTTGACCTCGGTTCACCTTAAGCCATTTAATTTATCATCTAATGAGTAAGAATAATTGCGATCTCCTCGTGTTAAAAAGAAATAATCACTTCGTATGGCAATCCATAAAAGCAAATGGCCACTTTGTATATTTTTCCTAAGTTAACCTTATTCCATAAGGAAGGGTGAAGTTTGTGCTATAAAAAAAAAAAAAGTGACCGTAAGACTACACCGAGAACATATATATGCTCCCACTTGAGCATATAGTACAAACAATCCCTCAGCCAAATGCCTGCTTCTGAGGATTTTTTCAATCTAAAATTTTGGAAAGCACACATAATTATTAGATGATAATTTCAAAAACAAAATTTTGAATTTTGAATTTTGAGTTTTTGAAACATTATATTTTTCTAGTACGAGTTCAATTTGGAAATATTATTTTACTAAGGTAGTCTATAGAACGAACAGGTTACATTCTCAAATTGTAGGGTCACGAAATTACTCTTATATTGGATTTTACTTGAGATAGTAAATATATAGTATACTCCAACGTGAGTATAAATTTTTTTGGCTAAATAATACCCTCTCTACCATCCTCTTTTCATACTGCAACCATGCTAGCAAGACTCGAGCCTACCGGGCAATTACCCAACTCTAGCTGAGTCGCTTGCTTCCCCTTTTTCACTTGAAAGGTAGGTAAAAAATAATTTCTCCCATTGTTTGCTTTATTTTTTAAACCATAATTTATCACTTGCATGCATTTTAATCAATTTAGACAAAAACTATTTCTTTCGATAAAAAATGCATTTTGGTTAAGAGTTTTCATGAAAATCTAGTCATTTTTTAGCCCTAAAACCCAATAAGCCCTACTTGCAATTTCTCACCCATTCATCAACCTAATCATTTGTAATTTGATTCAGAATGTTGTTATTAGAGGCCTTAACAGAACCTTACAACAATTTATTAGATTACAAAGCAAAATAAAAAAAGATCAAGATTCCAAATCCAAGGGTTTTAAAAACCTAAATTTGAAAAATCTTTGGTTTTGCTCTCATGTTTCAACAAATTCATTCGAAATTTATCCCAAAATATTCCTATCACATTGATTTGCAAAATCCGCAACAAAGTTTCGTTAAATCAAAATCAGAAATCGCAAAGATCTACTTCTAGTTTTCTTCCAGCCGTTTTCTGCCATTTTCTTCCCAAATTGTTTTTATATTAATTTTTTATTTTGATATGATTTATATCTCCTTTTATAAGAAGTATTTGTTTTTTAATATTTGATTCTTTATTTTTACTATTTCTATTTTTCTTTATTTTCTCTTTTTTGTTTTTGTTTTCAAAGACCAACCGAGACAACTAAGTTATTCAACTAGTCTATCCAAAACAAATGGGTGACCGGTTCGACCTACCGATCTGAGTTTTTAAATATTGATCCTAACATCATCTTTCAACTGTCCAATTCAAAGAAATTGACAATTGGAATGTGTCACTACTCTTTGCAAATCAGAACTGACATATTGTCTATCGCAAAGTAGAACTTATAGAGGGATACTCTAAAATATAAAAGTTTTAAAATTAATAGGACTAAGACAAAATATATAGAATGCAAATTTAGTAAATCTAAAGATTTTAAAATTAGTAGGACTAAGACAAATATATAGAATGCAAGTTTAGTAATAATAGGAGTAGAAACAAGGAAGTAGTTAAGATCGATGGCCATGAAATACCTACAAGAGATTATTTTCGATATCTCGGGTATAATCAGTAGAATGGTGAGATTGATGAAGATGTCGCGCATAAAATTAGAGCTAGGTGGACAAAGTGGAGATACCCACCCTGATTATTATGCGATCACCACATACCAATAAAACTGAAGGGCAGGTTCTATAGGACAGCTGTAAGACCAACCATACTCTATGAGACATAATGGTGGTTAAGAAACAACATACATATAGGATGAGTGTATATAAGATGAAGATGTCGATATATATGAGTTGCAAGACAAGAAATAATAGAAATCTGAACAAATATTCAAGGGAATTTATGTATAGAATAGGCCTAATACAACATTGGTTAGGAGGTAGAATTTGGTTCAAGTGGAAGGCTATAAAAGGGCGAAAAGAAGGCTTAAAAGGACATAGATGAAAATAATGAGAAAAAATACGGTAACTTATGGCCCCATCCTGAGGGTATGACCCTTTATAGAGCAGAATAGTGGAGCATTATTCTTATAGCTGATCCAAATAGTTGGGATAAGGTTCAGATGATGATATTGAACATCTATCTTTTATTTGTTTTTTAGACCTCATTCTCATAAATCTACACTATTTATGGAGCTCCAAATTCATAGATTTAGGGAAATAATGGATTTATTGTAATTTGAGATGTTCAGGTCCTAAAATCATTGCAACCATAACTACTACATAAGTTCACGAAAAACACCAACTATTGCATATATTGTGTATGCGACATGAAAGCATTGTTTAAAAACCTAGATATGTCACTGAATTGGCCATACGTAAAATCAGTTTGCACCGATCCGGCCGAGAGAATCGGCCAAAAAAATAAAAAATTGAAATAAAACTTAGGAGTTAAAAAAATAAAAAATAAAAAATGTGGGACAAGGGCCATCTGCCCCGACCAATCACCCAATTTCTTAATAGAACCGGTAGGTTCTTGTGACGAAGTCTTAGTTCTCTCGACTCTCGATGTCATTGATCAATATGAATATACCAACATATCTTCTATAGATAAATACAAATGACAAAATAAAAATAAATTACAAACACCAATACTATACCGAAACTTACCACAAAATACAATATATTGTACCTACCGTTCTCATGTATATGAATGATTGCGACATTCTTGAAACAAATATAAATGGTCTCATTGTATACAATCCATTACAATATATGCATTCTATATTAATTTGGTGGACGATATATACTTTCTTTTCACAATTATGTCAAAGAAAACCATTTGATTTTATGGGCAACCGGCCGATTCCTATTTTTAATTGAGAATTGACTAGGCTGCTATTGGTTCTCAATCTAGATCAAGCGATTCTGATTCCAATACCAATCACCGATTTTTAAATCATTGCAGGGAAGTATTAAGATATGATTACCTGATTTGGTCTCGTTGCCGAATAAACGGCACGAAAAATCCAGTGTCTCTCTTACCGTCATTTCTCCAAGATGCAGATCTTGTTGGCCCACGTAAAGCAAATCCTTAACGGGAAGAAATCCTTCAAGTCTTTGCCATTATATGCTACTTTACCACTAACCTATCAACATTTCAAATAGTAAGTTAAAAATAGAACAATTGTTTGATGCGGGCTGGATCGCATTTCTACTATGGATGGATGCAAATAGGTGATCCATCTAAGAACAATTTTAAGTAGCAGTCCAAATGTTTTTTTAATATAATTATTATTTTTAGTTTTTAATTTATTTATTTTTCATATTCACAATCACGATGTTAAAGATCATATATTCTCTAAAAATTAGGAACCAATTATATTTAAAAAATATATTTATTGCCAAGCCCTCATTTCTACAATACGCGGGCTGGCCGCATGCTAACCGCGTCCCTAAAAATAAGGTTAAAAAGACAGGAACCCAGTGTCAACTCGGTAACTTGTCGATCTGAGTCATCTAGCCAATTTTCAAGTTAAGTTCACATATTCCAGGCATGTCAGCCTAAATGGTGAAAAAGGGAAAAAGGAAAATAATCATAAAAAGAGAAATATTAAAAAAAACAAAAACCTAAATAACTAACTGGGGAACTGTCACAATCCCTACAATGAACTAGGTGATTCACTACTGTAAGTCAAGCGGTTCATTGTAGTGAACCGACCAATTATAGACATCCTGGGTGGTTCCCCTGTTCGAGATTATCTAAAATCAAGATGTCCTAGATCCGAGTTGACTCGGGTGATTTCGAGTCAACCCAAACTGATTCCCCATCCATTTGACATAAACTTTAGTCATACTTTAATCATAATAAGCATACTAACCTTTAACCCAGGATCAAGTTTTCCAGCAAGGGCAAGTAGCAATGTTGTCTTACCAGAGCTTGGAGGCCCAAGGACAAGAGTCATCCTAAAATTAGGTAATGGACAAATAGAAAATGTGATTATAGCAAAGAATTCATCACCATTATTGGAAATACTAAGACAAAAATGAAAAATAAGAAACTGTAATAGAACATACCTTGAGGGCTTTACAATACCGCTTACCCCTTTGAGAATATTAAATTTTGTTTTTTTTGAGGTTGAGAGGCCAATAAAGCTTAACATGTCCTAATAATACAAATATCATACACGATATTATAAACATGAAAGTTTTTAAAAGAAATAAGATTTCAAACAGAATATGTGATTTATATGAAAAAAATAAAGGACATTATTTCAATTCAAAAGAGAAAAAAAGACCTCCAAGGTATTGATTGTGGCATTCACTAATGTGGGAAGAGCCCTTCTCCCCATGTGTGCATTAGCCTCTACACATAATTGTCCAAAGCGAACCTCAATTTTAGGAATATTGACTCCCACCCTACACAAGCAATATGCCAAGGTAATATAAGTACAAAATGCGCATACATACAAACACATACAATAGCTGGATAGCTATAATGATTAGTAATAATATAGGTAGAATCTCAGTTGTCAGATCTTCATCGAGTGGTTCAAAATACATTTCATTATTTTAATTTTAATTTTTTTTCTATAAATTTGATTAGGATGAAATTTTGAATGTGTATACCTAACACTATTGCACACCATATAAAAACATAAAAATATTATTTTCAATAATTTAAAATGATCAAATTACCCTTGTCATTTTTCATGGGTATTTCGATCATTTTATATTTTTTAAAAAAAAATTTACATATTTTTTAATTGTGCACCTTATTTTTTAGTACACACGTCTAAAATTTCATTATGATCGGATTTCTAGAAAAAATATTAAAATTCATACAGTAGTATGTATTTTGAACCACATGACGGCTCCCATTCCACCTATATTACTATTCATTATAGTTGTCCAACTATTGTAAGATTTACTTATAT